CAGCATCAGCTTTAACCTCCCCCTCTTAGTATTACTAACGAGCGCCACCCCAGTTCACATCCTCCCAGGGTATCACTACTGGGCACAACTCCGTACCAGCTTACAGGGTCGCAACTGAGTCTGCAAGGAAGACAAGGGCCCGTTTAAAACTATTAATATGCACAAAGCATGAGGAGCAATTCCTGTAACAATGAATGTCAGCTGGAACACCATAGTGGCTTTAGGCAGCGTGAAGTCTAATGACAGTCCTCAAAAATAAACCTCCGTGTCAAAGTATAGCCTGTGCTAGGCTGTAAATAACTCTGCAATTACAATACCATGCTGGTAAAAGTGACAGTTTGTACTACCAGAGGCATTCAATCCAAAGTAACAGCAATCAGAATATTTTTGTACCTTCTTTTATTCTTACCCTAACACGGATACTTTTCATTATATCCAACATCCTGACAGCCTACATCCCTTAAACAATTCATACTGCATTACCTCCTGTATGTTTCTAGTGCAGACTGCTCTCTTTAATTCCAGCACACTACAATACTGAGCCATGCTGATTGAGAGCCTGAAAACAAATATGCAAAGCAAGCAGAACAACTAAACCAGACTGCTCACTGGCTCTCAGAGAAATAAAAGAATATTGAGAATTGACTCATTTGAAGTACTTAGAATACCAGACAACTGATATCTACAGCCAAAGTGAGAGACAAAGCCAGCTATCCCGTCTCCAGAAGCTCCAAGACAGGATCACTTATTAGCTGTGTTGCACTCCACATGAGCTAGCAGCCAGAATAAAATTAATTCTTGTCAGTTTCACAGAGCAAACTGTATCTACTCACAGCAATTAATGGCACTAACCTTTTGTTGACTGCTGTGATCCAGAAATATGTATTTCTCTTCTTCAGAAGTAATAGATCTTAGGTCATTTTGAAGATGATCCACTGCAGTAAGTAGGCTGCAAAAAGTTGCAGTGTACCCCAATCTTGCTAAAATGTACCTCAGCAGGAAGCAAACTCTAAAGCATGGTAAGAGACACGTAATGTTCATTTTCCTCTCTTGAGCAATTTTGCAAGAAACGAGGATATGCTCACGCTGCTGGACATAACCCCATTGATCACCATGTCCTTATTTGACAGGATAATACTCTTCAGTGACAGCTGCTGTTTCCACGCTCTTTTCCCACAACTCCTTTTGCCTATCTCACAGCTCTGAGTGCACTTCTTATTTTACAGGCATTTAGCTTCTTCCAGCCCCCTCCCACCACCACCAATTAAATTGAAGCCTTAACAACAGTTTACAGGTGTGCTAGTCCTAATAAGACACAGAATCAGGTAACTTCCCAGCCTGAAACATCCCTTCCAACATTAGGCAGGCAAAAAAAAAAAAAAAAAAAAAAAAAAAAAAAAAAGTTCAATGAAAGAAACCCAACATAAGCAAGTACCAACATAAGCAAAATCCAAAGCCAAATAATGAAGAAATTCTATAGGTCTCCATGGTATTTCTAATGAAAAGGAAAAGCAGTAATGCTAACTTAATGAGTGATCCACATTTGCCAAAGAGGTCTATACAAGCAAGCAGCACTAAGGAGGGTTTCAGCTTTAGGTTTATCAGCCAGAACAAAATGATAAAAAATGAAGTTAACACAGCCAAATCCCTGACAGAGCCAGGACTGCCTCAGGCCTTGCTCTATATTTATGTGTTACTTAGAACCAGCCTCACTTTCTGCTAACACAGGCAAACAAAAAAGAGCATCTCTGAGCCTCACCACTTTCCTAGAACACCACCTCCTGCAGAACTGCTCCCTAGGAAGGAAGCAGGCTGCACTACACTGCACACAGCTGCAGCACCGCATCAAAAATGAGATGCAGAGACAACGTGACAGCATGCAGCCAAACACAACTTGAGGGCATCCCGAGTCTTCATTTAAAGCAACTCACAGAGCCTGCTGGAGATGAAGGTAATGAAATAAATACTGGTAATACCAATGTAGGAAGTGGTCCTGTTACCCAAATTTGTTCTCCAGTAAGAGCCCTTCAAAAATCAGGTATCTTAAAGCTTCTCCAGCAATCAGTTTTGAGGATTTTTCCCTAAAGGCCCAGGCCCTGTGCCCTCACACACTGGAAGGGCCTTAGCTTACCTCTTCTACCACACAGGGGCCCAGCAACTTCATTACCAGGAGGGCAGGCAGACTGCAGTTGGTAGCAAAACAGTAAAAATGGAAGAAATACAGCATTTTTTGCCTACAGATGAGCTCAGACACAAAAGAGAACATAAATACCACTTCAAACATTTTTCAGGATAGACCAACACTAATACAGCTCCAGCTGCAGTCTTACTGTCAAATCCATGCTTGTCATTCCAGCCTAGCAATGAAGAAACACTAAATGCATAGTGGTCAAGCTTTTTTTTTTTTCCTTTTTTATTTAAAATATCATTATAACCAATTAACATACTAGATAACAATGTATACATTCCAGTGGTGCACACGTAATGACCTATGGCATGAATGATTGAAAAAACCACAATGCTTTCAGTAATGCCCCACCAACAGCTTATTTGGAGGGAATAAAAGAAAACAGGAAAGCTATCAAATGCAGGGAAGAAAAAAAATAGCTCTCCCACTATTTTTCATGATGTATTTTCCCCTTAGTATTTCCTGGGACAAAACAAAATTAAGAATATACTTTAAAAGGGGCAGAAGGAATGATCACAATCGTTAAGGTGTTTTTTTTTCCTTTCTCAACTTTAGTAAGAAAAGTTAAAGAACTCTCAAAAATAGACTAGATATTGGGCCTACAAAAGTAATTCATCTGTATGCAAAGCTTACCAAGAATTATTCCTTTTGTAAAATGTAAAGGATGAGCTGACACTACTAGTAAGCTATTTTTACCTACAAAACCAGACTACAATAATAAAATCACCAATTTACAGCTAACACAATATTCTAGATGTACATTATTGTACACGAACTATATATTACACATGAACATCTTACGTGAAATATATAAGAAACATAACTACTGCTATTGTCTCAACATTGGCCAAAAGGTTCAATTTTCTAAAGGAAGTGTAATTTTCTATTTCACATTCAGTGTAGTTCCAATAGCAAGGGGTAGCTTTGCTTATTTAGAAACGTAGGTGGTTTGTGTGAGGTAGATCAAGAAAACCTTGCTTAAAATTTTAACAGCAAAAGTGGAAACAATGCTATCTGTTATAACACATCCATAAAGAAGAGAGATCCGTGTTAGGGCATAAAAGAGATCAACCGAAATATCACTTTGATCCAGTGCCCATAACTAAAGATAAATAAAACAAACTAGAATTTAGTTAGGCAGTAGAGTCTCATCACAGGTTCCATTAAGATTCTTCCTAATCCTATGCAGACTGCTCTCTTTCAGTTCCAATCCTCAAACTATATCCAGACAGGTGAACCAAAAATTTAACAGGCAAATGAAATTTAACAAATGAAATATAACAATGTGAACAAGCTGTTGTTAACAGCAAATCCTGGATTCCTGGTTGGGCAAGAACTATCTTCCTGTACTAGCTCTTTGATCATCTTCTTTATGCAACGTTGAGGTTAATGTCGAATGTATTAATGCTGAAGCATTATAAATATAAAATGTCAGTCAAGGTGCTGAGTTTTTCCTTCTAACAGAATAGCCTTTATATTCAGAGAAGCAATTTTCCATAAAGCAAACCCATCAATAACATTCTGCTTGTACACTGAAACAGCAGAGGGTGCTATTGCCACAACCGTCTCTTTACAGCTCACTACATCCTCTTAAATTCACACACACGTGATTACATGATTCTGTGTGTGCATGGGGCAGGAAGGCTTACCAGTTTCATACTGACATTATCTTTGTATCTTGCTGGAATTCTCATCCAAAAAGAAACTAATGTACATACAATATAGTAAGATTTTTCTAAACCAAAAATCCAAGCTGCACAGTGCCTACACAGGGGAAAGTGCCACGTCTCTTCAGGTTAGCTGAAGGAGTGAAGCAGAGGTGGCCTGGTCAGTCAGGCTGCTCTCAGGTTGTTCAGCTGATGCTCTGGCAGTCCAGCTTCCCCCTTCACACACACACTAATACACACCAACCCCGCTGTGTAGCCTCAACAAAAGACTTCACAGATCAAAAGACATCACAGAGCAGAGGTACAGCATACAGTAACAGTATTAACTTCCCCCCCTCTCCCCCCCATCTTTCCATCTATTTAAAGACCCTGAGGAACCTAATTCTGCAAAGGGAGAGGAGCTTTTTTAGAGCCTGCCACAGAAGGTGGGAATTAATATTATTACTGCTCAACTTTTAAGCTCACCTGACATGAAATCAGACACAGCTCACTGCAATTCAATCCCTACCAACTCCAATGGGCTGGAACGGCCCTAGAAGTGGAACATTGCATGCACTTTAGTAAAGCCTGTTACTGTGAAAAGATTTTGAAATCGTATACTGAAATAAAGCTTAATATTTCAGGAATAAATTTTTACAGTGTATTAGATAGCATATTAGCTGGCAGTAGAATATACAAGAACAGTTGCACTCATCCCCTTTGTTTGCTATTTGCGGCAGTGCACAACTCTCTCTGAAATCATTTTATACTTCAACAAATAAAAAGAAATAAGACTTGCCTACTGTTGCAGTAACTTGGTTACTGCGAATCTGATTCACTTGTCTTTTAAGTTTGCCTAAAATGCAATCAGTTGGAAGAAAAAAAGCAAGTAACACTGCTATGAAGACGATGCTAGGAGTGGACTACAGGTGGACCCTTGGACCTCAGTGAAATAATCACTTTAAACATGGCTCACTTTATACTGTTACAGGTTGCAGAGAACAGTCCCAGCCATTCATCAACACTACATTACAAGAAAAGAAAAACTCAATTCCTCTTAGAGATTATGAGCAAAATGAAGTTACTATTGATTGCTTGCTGCAGTAATATTAGACTCAGCCTATTTATGTTGAAAGAAAAAAAATAATGGTCAGATTCACTCAATATGCATTTTAAAGCAATTTTTCTTTAGGACACTGGAAAATGATAACAAAAATTAAAGTTTCCAAATACTTCAGTCATCACTGCAATACAAACGGGTCCAAAATCAATTGAAATAGAGATTATATTTACCAAATCCCATTCTTTAGAGAATCTACAGGCATCTGAATTTGATTTTGTCAGTATGTTAACTTCATACTCCAGGTTAACCCTTGCATAGCAAAATAGTACTGTTCTATGACCAAAAATTTTGGCTTAATTCACAGTTTAAGCTTTCATTAAAAAAAAAAATAATAATAATTACAAAATAGACTGTTCTATTGGTCTCTGTTCAAATCGAGCAGATTTTCTATGTTCCAGTGTGAGAAAAGTCCAATAAGATCTGCCTATTCTGAGGTAATATACAATTTGGCAGGATCCCGTAAAAATAATTGCCTTAACAAATGGTGGTTTAGAAAGGCAATATTGAAATATTCCATACAAATGAGGAAACCAAAATTACACACACAAATAGCACTTACCAGTAGTCTAGCCAGGCCAGGGAAACAACTGTGCAGTTTATCAATTTAGTCATCTTTGAGACATTACCACTCCTTGTATCCTGCACTTTTTTTCAAGAGACACATTAGATGTTGAAGGCATTACTGTCGCTTACATTTTTCTGAAACCTTGCTGCAAGGATGAATTTCCCTCTTCCCATTCTAACCACAAAAGAGACTTTTAACCCAACAAAGCGAAGGAACCACACTGAAGAGCATCAGTCGCTCCCGGATGACCTTTGTAGCCAGTCACATTATTTGCTTCTGCTCTGTGCCTGGCAAGACTTCTGTAATTTTTTATGCTCATTTTGGTGAGCATTACTAATTTAAATTCCTCTTTACATTCTAATTCACTACACAAAATATGCATCTACACATGGCAATCAATTACACAGCCTAGCTTCACTAAAAATCTGCATTTTCCAAAGGAACAAATTCTGAATGATTGTTTAACTCATACATAAACTTAAGTCAGTTATACATAAATCATTCTGTAAATATAAAATGTAAACAGTTAAAATACTTCCGTGAGGAGCAGTACCATTTTACATGACTATTTAGTAACTGTTCTACATATTTCAATATATCTGTTGTTTAAAAATTGTATTGAAACCTGCAGTTTCAGTGCTGAAAACTACTGCATATTAACGACTTAAAATGAACCATTACTAAGACTTCTGCTACAGTGGTCTCCCAGTCAAATGAAAGAGATATGTATTAATTTACACAGCACTATTTCTCCCTCCTTTGGATGGCACATATTGCTCACTTAATGCTTAGCTACAGGAAGCTTCCTGAGGTTCTTGTACCACTTCACGGTTTTTAGCGATTGGTTATTTTTGGTGGAGAAAGAACAGCTGAAATTTTGCCCCTGCTGCATTCACATCCTTTTCTCTTCTCCCCAGAAAGCACTCACCTTTGCAGACAAAAGTAGCAAGAAACTGAACTCCCAAGAACCATATACTAGATGGAAGTATAACTACAGCATATTTGTTCTTCCTGTTGGCATCTAGACGTCCTGGATACACCTTTGTTTTGTGTACAAAAACAGGCTACAAGCTAGAAGTAAACAGTTTATTTGCATTGTAATGTATTATTCATGAAGTATCCTCTTGTTTTATGGTGATCATGAGATTTGGCATGCCACAGTTGTGCAGAAGACATCACCTCTCTTTGTTAGGCTAGATGCTTCTGCAGCTTTTAAGGTAGGCTTTGCTTTCTTAAGATCATAAAACCATTCAAATGAAATTACTTTACAAAGGACTGTATACTGTTTCTCTAACAAAATTCAGTAATTGTTGCTTTTACTCAAGTATTAAAGGCAAGTGGCCAAAATGAAAGAGCATATTATTCGCTGTCAGCACCATAGCAGCACGCTCCAAAAAGCCTACAGCTGGATGCACCCATCTCTCTCTCCCCCTCAATATGGACATATGACCAAGCATAAAACTTCGAAGGATATCATGAACAAAACATCTGGAATAAATTCTAAATTTAAAAAAATTGAAAACCTATAAAATCTTAAATAATACATGATATGGTAATGACCACAACATTAATATGTGCTTTGATAAAACAAATCTTACAAATTCAGTAAAAAAAAGATCAGCAGCATAATAGTAAAGCAAATATGCAGATTTTAAAACCACAATAAAAATTATCAGGTTTAATATTTTACAGTTAATTACAGCAAAAAAAGTGGCTGCTTTTAACACAACTTACAGTTTAAAATTACAGCACTTTATGATGAATTCTATGATTATTTTTGAAAAAACACTCAAAAATACCACCAAATTTTAAAGGTGCCCTATTAATGACTAAAAGGAACCCCCTCCCACCCCCCAAAAGACCAAGTAGTCATCTACAGCAACCCAGAGGTCCAGCTGAGGTTTCTAGACTGCTGTCTGTATCAGAGGCCAATGTTGGATCTGTTGACATTGAAGACACATCATTGACAGATGACGACGAAGATGGATGCTGAGAGCCATTGATCATTGCTGCACCTGTGCTATGAGAAACAAAACAGCAAATCAGTTGCAGATACAGTCGCACGGCTCAGCACTTGCATTAGTCTGTCTCTTCCTAACACTCACTACTTCTCCCCACTTTGGCGAGTTTGAAGACATGCATCTCAAACAACTGTCAACGTAAATAAAATCCACAAGTCATAAAAATGCGGTGCTTTATGAATGCTATGGTAAGAAACACTAAACTCACATGATGGGATACCTGTCTAATTAAAATAAATGCTAATGACCGAAGGTTAAAAATCACAAATAGTACAAAAACCCAGGGCTAAGATATCCTACTGCATGTTGAGAGCCAACTTAGACCATACCTACATATTTTGGGAAAGAAAATGGCTTGTTTTTTCATCAGATCCTCCCACTTAGTCAGGGGAAGAGCAAGCATCCATCTGCACTGCATACAGCCAGTTTCAGATGTGCTGCAGTTCAAAACCAGGCATCAGTAAACTTTGAGAAGAGTCAGCAGCAGCAGCTAACTTTTGCCACCTTGTTCTGATGTTCAGCGACGCTTTCTGAATATACTCCATAATTTTTCTCTTTAGAGGAATTTTCAAGACATACAACCTAGAAATCCTGTTTCATTACTTAATAGATAAAAGTAGTGGTTATATCTTCATGTGATACTGCACCAGCTACAAATTACATATCTTACCTGACTATGGCAATGGAGTACACGTATAAAGTACTCTACGGAATACTTCCTGAGATCTTGATAGAGGATTGAAATGAAGTATCAATAATAATTTATCAGATTAATAAAAAGAGATATTCCACCAAATGTTGCCAACTCCACATTCCATTCAAATAAGTGCAAATTCAAAGAGAATTCTAGAGATTATCAGTCATTCCAGGGCCGCATTTTTGAGCCTGGTTATAGTTGGATATCTTGAACAGTTTTACACTCTCCTGACCTAAAGCTCTATGTAGTTTCGTACTGTGCTTTTATTGTAACCAACCTAAAGGGGCTGGCTGCCCACGTATAACCCCATTCTTGGTTCTTTCCTCCAGGTCCATGACTTCCTTGTATATCAATTCTGAAAACGAAGGGAAATAAGGCAGAAAATTGAATTTGCAAACAAAAAAAAAATCCTCAATTGACAGTTTATCCCCCATTAAAACATACATCTACATTTCTTAGTTCTATTACTGTTTAGAATTAGTTTTGAACAACAGGCTGTAGATTACAGAATGGGCAAGTGGTATTGTAATGTAGCTCCAGAAGTAGAGAATTGTACAGTGGCCTGGAAAGCTCAAGAACACACTGACATTGGTCTCAGACTTTTGTCCAGCCAGTCTGGGGACCTGAGGCTAAACTGAGTCCTAACGACTATTCTGTTTTTATCAGTGCTTTCTTTGGTACAGAAGAATCAGATCAGCAGTCTTCAAAGAACCATGCAGGCCGTTCTACAGAGGAAGTTTCTCTGTCATTAATTCATTCTCATCTTTAAAATGCCCTTTCACACATTAGTATTTTTTTCATAATGTAGTCTGCCTAAGGATCTGAAAAAAATTCAGAACTCTTACGATTTAACCTGCCTTTTTCCTCTCATAGGTATTTGCCTGAATAAGGAAACTGACCAAGATATTCTTGGCAAGTAGTAGTTTCCTTAGGAGAGATCAGGCCATAAGCTCTTGGGTGAGATAGGAACAAAAACCACAGCAAATGTGTCCAAACAGCACTGCCATCCTCCCAACACATATTTGCCACTAAGTTTCCTCAGCAACAACAGGTCACTGTGACATGGAATACGACACTACGGATAGATGTAAGCAGCAACTTCACCTCCCTCATCCTTAAAATAAGTTGTAAGTGTTTGTAATGTGATTCATACACCCTCCCTTTATACAGGCCAGAACGTTTCTCAGCTAATGGTATCCTGTCATCCAGAAAACACTTCAGCTGTGAATCTCCAGAAGGAGCAATAAAAGAACAGGACTAAACACATTAAATGCAGATCGTAAGAACTGACTTGTCAGGTTACTACTTCTTATCTATCATTGGTCAACTCATGTATGGTTTGAAAGAAAAAAGTATTCAGGAATTACAATTTCAAGGGCAGTGGCAGTCTCAAAAGTAACTTTCATATTGCTTGAAATACTTAAGTTTTTATTTTAGCAACATAACCGCATACCTGCTGCTTCAAAAGGGGAACACATTTGTGTGGAAGGAAGACAGCAAGAGAATTTCCACAGTTCTCCTTCTCTCTGCCTTTACAATTAAAACCCTGATAGCTTTTATTTAATAGATTTCTAACAGAAAGTGGTTGCAAGTGTGGCAGTACTAAATATTATAGCCCTGTGTCCATTATCAGCCAATGCAATGAAACTGTCAAAAATATTCCATTAAACGTTTGTCCTACTTTTTAAAAAAAAGTATCATTTTCCTTCTGGCTGTACCAGTCTGGCTCCAATTCCTTCCCAAGCGTTTTCAGTACAAAGTATTAGATCAGTCAGTGCACTACATTCTTGCTGAAAGCAGCCTTCACATTTCTCTGGATCCAAAGCTCAGTGTAACTGCTAACCCTATTTAAAATACATGAAGCACAAAGAACTAAATGAAGTACCTGAGATAGAGCGAGCAAGCATCCTAAATAAAAGCACCTTGTTTATACTAAGTGAGAAGGGTTATGGTCTAAGGCACTTAAATGCACCTTGGAGACAGGCTCTCAAGAACTAACTAGCACATGGCCCTCGCACTGGGAGAGCTACACACCTGCTCCAAGCTCACTGAATAACAGAATTATCAATTCAGGTATTTGCTCTGACTTTTGCTTAGAAATAATCAATACCAATTCTGGAACACACTAAATCCTCTGATATGTTAAATCGTATGATGAAGGACAGCAGTGGTCCAAAGGAAGGAATTTTTTCAGCTTTGTCAACACTGTACTAACTAGGCTATACAAAAGAGTAATACATTTTAGAGAGGGCAGTTAAATATTGTACTTCTACAGTAAATCAATCATTTACTTACATAAAGAATTCTAACAAAAGTCCTACGTGATTTCTGAAGAACTATAAGGGCATGCAATATCATCTGAATTGCTAACAGCAGCAAAGGAAAACATATGGAATCAGTAATACATATGTTAAACATTTCTCCACTAGAAATGGAAGAAGTTTCACGTATCTTAAAACTAATCTCCATAGGTCTTTAAAGCACAGTGACCGTCTCTTAGTTCATAAAGTCCAAAGGGTACAGAAGGTTATAGCAAGGTTATGGAAACAATAACATCAAACACCAACAGATGCAGAGGCAGATGCATAGCATTGGAGCCTTTGCAGTAGCACATCTTTTTAGAAGCAGTTTCCAAATGAAACAAAAGCTTTACTTTCAAGGATGTTCTCCTTACACTTTGTAAGTATAAAGAAAAAACAGATACAAAATCTAAAACTCATATTCTTAGAGGTAATCCTTATGCCATACTCTGACACTTCTCACACTTCAACCCTGGCTACTTTCTCAAGATTCTATATATGAAACCACTGCCATCTCCCACATGAGCTACAACCTCGCTCCCTTGCGCACTGCTAACTCTCCTTTTGGCTTCTTCTTTCAGCGCAAATAACGTTAACATGCTAATATTCAGACTCACAGTGCTCCAACTCCTCCATCCTTTTTCATCGTAGCAGTTTTGTCCAGAAGTGTTTCCCTTCCTAAAAATGCTGCTTTACCATTTGCAAAAGTTGACCGAAATGAGCAGGCCTACAGCTGAGCGACCTTCAACTCCCTGCAAAGACTCATCACCTTTACAGAAAACGTTTTCTGTCCCGACAATCAAGAGGTTGTGAAGCACTGATCTATTCCCTTGCCATTCCAAGCAGTTTAAGTATATACTATTATGTTACTCAGAAGAATCTTGGTAACAGTAAGCCTAAAAGCACACCTACATTAAAAACCTGTTGGATATGCAAAAGGATCGTTCTTACCTTTCCATTCTTCTATTGTGTGCTCCCTCTCATCTAACTGCTTATCTGGTATCTTTGGTGGAGGCTGGAAAACAAAACTAACTCATGATAAAGCAATCAAAGGGGATAGACAAGCACAATAAATGAAAAATGGAAATAAGATATTCAGAATAAGGACCTGATTTAAAAAGACTGTATTTACATGGTCAAATAATCTCTCACGCTTGGCTCATTTTCTACATGCTGCTTCGTGTTTTCAACTTGTTCTAGTTAGCTCATTTATGAATATTAGTGTATTAATTAAAACAGAAACTAAAAGGGCTGGTAATAATGCTCCTAACTGCAGTGGTCTCAAGCACAAGCAGCCCTTTTCACCTATTCAGAGTTAATTGATCACTTTCTTTCTAGATATAATAGATCAGCAGAATTCTAATTGTGCCACTTACACCAAACATCTTTTCCTGTTCTTAGTGGGCCATCACCAGCTTACTTCCTCTTAAAAATGATTTTTTTTTCTCATAAGCTGAAGTTATTTTTTTAAAGGAAGATTTTCAGTTGATCTCTTTGTTCATTACTGGCAGTACTTCAAAGCTTCAGATCTTGTATCAGATTTTGCTGAAACACTCATTTGCCAGTTTAAGAGTGCTATCAATTGCTGCAAGTAATGAAAGTATTCCTCTTACCCAGGAGCAAATGACTGGAATACTGTCACAAGTAATCAAGCTGTGCTGTAACAACTGTAACTCAATAAATCAGAACTCTGTATCAGAGACTTTCAGTTCATTGCTCCATGTCTAGGAATTTATATGCAATTATACACAAATACATACACAGGTACTGCAGGTACGTGCAAGACTGTGCCCATCCCTATTATTAATTCTAATAAGTATATTGATCAATGTCAATAGAAATGATTACTGCTCGGTTAAGCTTCTAGTGAAATGTGTAAAGCATGAAGCAGTCTCCTCTGAAGCAGTTACACAGAGCATCAAAACAAGCTTGCTTTGACAAAACATCTTCCTTGTTGGAGACCTAAAACAAGGACTTACAGCTTCGGCTTCTGACGGATCATACCAAACATTGATGTATGGGTGCTGGAGGGCTTCATCCACAGAAATTCTTTTCGAGGCGTCTATAACCAGCATTTTTGATAACAAATCCCTTGCTTGACTTGCTGCAAAAGTGAAATTTTCTACTTAGAGTATTGCCACATGCACATCACAGTCTTTCGAAGCTCATAAAGAGAGAACACTTAAATAACAAACTCCATTTTATTATTTATACAACCCTCGTGTAATTTGAAGTTTAAGAAAATGGTGCATGTGATGAAAAAAGAAAAATGAAGAGACCAATATTTTGGAAAGAATTTATGAGTGTGTACTATCTAGAAAAAAAATAAAACATCACATGGAAATAGTTTTAGAGCAACTATGCATAATCGTCCTACAAGCAGGCAAGGGAACACCAACAACAGAATACTTCTTATTTATCAATCTTGTTACTGGGTCAATAATAATTTAAATAGTAATTTAAAATGAGAATGGGAGCTAGACAATTAACAGAAGACTGAAAAATAAGTCATAACAGATTTCTTTTTTTAAAAAAGAGGACTGGGGAGAAGTGGACATCAACAAGTAATTCCTCCTTACTACATTTTTTTCTAATCTCTCTTTTCTTTCTCAGAAAAACAGAATAGAGCAAGAATGCACCCTTTATTTTTGCTTAAGCAAAGTCTGGCTGAAAGATGAGAAAGGATAACCTTCAGCTAGGAGAAAATCTTTACTGGCTAAACATGGACAAGAAACAAAATGCAATAGAAAGAAGGAAAAACACACAAATACACTGAAGACAAATACTATGGAATTGTATGACAAGTAAATGTAAGACAAGTAAATCAGCTGGATGGAAAGATACAGTATGCCACAAAGCCATCACGTCATTTCTATGCAACGTCCAACTGCAACACTGCAACTTCCAGCAACCTTTTGTTTTCGTTAGCTAAATTCCATTTTAGAAAGGGATGTTCAAAATCAACTAAACGCTGAAGTCTTCACTATGAAGATTGAAAGCAATTATACAAAGTAATAACGTTTTACCAGTTTGGAAGCAGAGGGAGAACAGTTTTGAAGTGTCTGAAAGATAAATGCTGAAGAAGAAAAAGCATTGATTGTGATGATCCAAAAGGATATAACACGTAAAATGTGTTATGAGTCTCAAGGTATAGCTGAGGTCTGTATTCTGTTAAATTAGTTTTCTATGGGCAAAGTATTCATATATCATAAATAGGAAAATCTTGGATAAGAAGGAAGAAGAAATGAACATACCAGGTCATGTATTTGCAGTACAGAATACCTAGTATGATTAGAACAAGGTACAGTAAGGAAGCTGTATAAACCATGTTCAAGTAAAACCAACTACACATCATGAACAGTTTAAATACAAAGGATTCATGAAGGTGAATCCTAAATATCTGGAGTCTTCCATTTTTTCTCCATGAATTAAGGCCTGCCGGAAAGGCCTTACCACCATAACATCAAGTTACAGAGGTGTCTCACCAGGGTTTCAGTATACTCTGCCCCTGGGCATGGCTCTGTACCTGCTGGCAGTACAGCCTTGGCTGGAGTAGCAGAGGACAAGCACCTATCCCTGTGCTCTAAGTGACAGCTGTTTTTTTGTTTTCCACATAAACTGTAATTGTTAGTCACAGAAAACACGGTGAGCTTTAGAAATAGTAACATATTCCAGAAACTAAAGGATATATGTATATAATGAATGCAAAAAACTTTATTTTCATCCCCAAACAAACAAGATCTGCTGTGGCTGTGAAACATCTACTCCTCTCTCCTCTCACTTCTCACTTTCATTTCTCTGTTCAGATATCTACACAGGAGCTATTCCAGAGAATATGAGAAAGTGTCAGTAACCAAACCTCTGTACTTCCATCTGCTCCCATTACATAAATGTTTTAACATGTAAATCCTTAACAGGAGGATTTTATAGTGAACAAAACCAAGATGCATTTCTGTTGGGTACAACACAGTTTAAGAACTTTCAAAATATACAGCACACTTACCTTTAAGTTTGTTGTGTTCAGAATCAGCTGGGAAAAGGACATCTGGAAAAAGCTTCTCAAAGCTATATCCAGCATACTTGGGTCTGTTCTCCACGTAAGTTCGAACTGTGGGCTGTAATTTCTTCATAAATTCGGGGCACGGTGTTCCTAGCTGCTCTATAACTTTATTCCATTGATCAATATCTAAGGTTGCACAGCTAAGAAAAACAGTGTCTAATTTGCAGCTAAAAGTTATGTTAAAACCACATAAAATATCCAACAAAGATTAAAACAGAAAATCACCACAAAATTTCAAGTTCATCATTAATTAGCAGCATCTTCATAGAGAAAACAGTGAAGCAAGGAAGACTCAGCATCTCAGTAATGAAGGCAACACATATTTCACTTGAAATCATAAGAATTAACTGGCAAAGGATATACTTCTGCAAAACAGAGGAAGTTAAAAGACAGACATTCTGTAGAACAACTAACTTCCTGATCTAAACTGATATTCACAATACTCCAACTACTAACCCTCATTAAGGAACTGGAGAGAATCACCTCCTAAAGCTGCTTTGTCCTTCCACCTCACTTCGGTAACTCAGCTGAGTTCTGGACTGTCCCAAATTAGTGATCTCACACTGACAAAACACAGTGCATAGCAGCATGGCCACATGAAGGATTAAATCCTGGCACATACAGATCAACAACAATTTTGCCAGTGTCTTCAATGAAGAATTGAAAGACTTTTGAGGCCAAGGAACATCTTCCCCAAAAAGTTTACACAGCTAGGGGACATTGACAAGTTCATGGCAGAAGAATTTAATACATGCTACTAAGCAAAAGAAAGCAAACAAAAATTTGGCTCATTGCAGATGGTTACATACTGGGAGAGAGCTCCAGTAAAATTTCACACATGCTTATTTCATTCGAATAGTCTCCCCAGCATTTTCTTTTTGGCTACTGCCTAAGACTAGACACTGGGCTCCCTAAGCCCTCAGGTGGATCAGCAGGCTCTCTCTTAAAGCTTCAAGGATTTTCAAGTTCTACAATGCTTTAGCACAGGTCTTGAAGGAGAAAAAAAAAAAAAAAAAAAAAGAAAGATACTACCTGAATTAAAAGTCAAGCTAGCTAGCAACCTGGATTCACAAAGCTAGCAGGCAATGACAAGGCTGTGTGAAAGCATGGACTCCCTGGATCTCCTTGTCACAACCCAAAACCTTTACCTAGTCCTCCCACCCATGTACTAATGTATTGGTTTTTAAACCATCAACCTGCAAGAAAAGCAGGAAAGATTTCTCATGGCATCTAATCAACTACTGGTGAAACAAGATGCCAAATTCCAATTCAATTTACATTTATTGTAGTGAGGATCCAGAGTCCTCAGCTCTGTTTGCTTGCAGCAGATCCTTTGTCTGAAGCATTTGTTTGTACGACCACCCAGGCAGACACCACTGACCATTCATGAAATAGCAAGACAGGAGCACCAGATATTTCTGAAAGCTGTTTGCAGGATCATTTCTGCATACAAAAATAAAACACTCCGGAGGACAATCATTTAATTACACGTCTCCTATAAAACATAAAGAAATAACAACAGCTAAATGTGCTTGGGTACCAAACGAGATTACTAAGTTATTACATAGAAATGAGCTCCAAAGCAAAACGTAACGCACGTGAATCAGTAAAACACCACCTAAATAAACATAAATGCCTCTCTTAAATATGACAACATCCAAAATCAATGAATAGACACTATATCAAATTGAAAACAAGCAAACAAAAAAGGAAAAATAAGCCTGCTCACCCAAGTGGTATTTTGCTCTTCTTGCTAGAATTTCTCACTAAGCATTGATTTCTAAAGAGCGCCATACACGTGAAAGCTATCTGTGCTGTTGTTTGCTCTAAGTGCTATAACTGTAGTTATTTCTGCAGCAACCTGGAACCAAAATTATGAACTTGCAAATGCTTTTTTGAAAAGGCAATTTAAAAACAGTATTTTAAGAATTAGATCCACCTTAACCTGGAACTAAATCGTTGTGGTATCTTTTGACCTTTTCAAACTACATCTTAGGCCAAAGGTAAGGATACGATCTGTACCAGGAAATAAAACACCACCTTTGATCATTTCTCCCATGATGCACCCAACTGACCAAATGTCAACTGAAAACAAAATGCAATGATATTAACAGAAAAGATAGTTATCAAAATAAAGGAAATAAAAATATCGAGACGCACACACACGTGAAGTGACTATAAAAAGCATGTGTAATGGAAGTGAGTGAAGGTGAACGTACGCTAACTACAGGACCAGCAGAGACTATGTCCTACTGCTAGGTGCAGCCTGACTCAAAATGAAGTCCTTAATTTTTTTTTTCAGTGTTATCACAAGAAAAATTCATGTCCATTTAATAAAAAAAAAAAAAAAATTGTACAATATGCATTTTCATGACATAACATCAATAAAAAGGTTAATCACTTCCTAACTAATTCAACCTGCTGCAGCAGCACAAGGATACAGTCCCTTCCTGGAAAGAGGATTTTGTGGCAAACCATTTCGCCCATAATGCACCCCACAGACCATAAATCCACTATGTTTGTAGCACAAAAAGAAGGAAAAGCAAAGCAAACGGTCATTTAAAATTAAAAGAAGCATAACATGACTGCATTCTATAAACTGCAGAGACAGCACAGGAAGAAGAGCAAATCTTTATATTAATCAATGAAACCACTTTTAAGAACACAGTATTTAAGGATTAGCTTTTAACTGTCTCAAATACAAGGCAGAAAACCATCCTTTTGTTTAACACAGTGCGAGAGCAAGAGCTGCAGCAGAGGGAGAGATACACACGAATCAAGCAGAGTAATGCGCATCTTCAAGTTCCGGGGCTTGCAAAGCTCTTTCAGTAGAACAGTCGGATCTCCAAGACAAGTTTATGGAAATTTTCATTGTAACTATAGGAATCATTTTAAGAGTAGTAACCAAAAATGACCTTACAAAATACGGGATACCTGAATAGTTAATACTTTCAGGAGCAGAATTAGTTGTTTCATAGGAATTAACATTTGCCATCAAGTATTTCCCGTAAGTCAGATTACCATGTATATCTCTCTCCCCTTAAACAAGAAGCAAGTACAATCAGTAAAAGATCACTTAGAATTTTAGAGGATCAGTTAATGACAATATTAGTACGCTCCTAAGAGATTTCAAGTTAAAGTTCTTTGGTTTAAGAATATTTCTCTAGTTCTGTTGAAATAACATACAGACAAAAAGCTCAATAGCAGTGTTTTTTGTACAAAAGATTATTTTCCACAATATCTTAAAATAAATCATTCAGAAGATATACTCAGAGATGCACAAGTTCACTTTTTACAGGTATGCCAATTTTTCTGAAGTTGCATCAGAGAAACTCTATTAACTCTGTATGCAAATTATAATTATGCATCTGTATTATGATGAATAGTTTTATATCAAATGTAAGACCAGAATTTCAGTTAAGCAGAGAAGAAGGGGATTTAAATGAGAAAAACTGTATGCCAAAAATCACATTTGAAAGTTGCGAGGGAGCTGAACAATTTCAAGCAGACAACATTGCTTCTTATTGAAAACATTCCTTCCTTCTTATGTAATAAAAGTTCCTCTAAAATAATGTTTAAATCGTATGGTAAGAGATCACAACTGTACATATTAATAGGTCAAAATTAAGGGCCTGGTTCATTTAAAAATGATTTATGATTTTTACTGTATTCCCTTTAAAACACTTTTTGAAAGTTTACAGAAAGTACATATTCTGCTGCCTTCACAAATCAAAACATATTCAAATGTGCTGTAAATAATGTGTCCAATGTGATGAAAATACCTCCCATAACTGCATAGAGAAGTCTGACAACATGAGTCAATGATCTATCTTCATACATCAGAAGACTCTGGGGACTAAGAAAAACATTACTTACAATTCCTCTGTTTAATCTACAGAACAGAATGCAGAAGTCAACCCTGTCACCTGCTTGTTTGGGCCACTCGCTCGTTTTTTTTTTAGTTACAGATTTCATGTGCACATACATAGCACCAAAGATTACTGCTCTTCAGTATGTGTCTCAGTCATCGGTACATGTACTGATGTGTCCTCCCTCATCTTGAAGGGGAAGTGCAGCAGGGAACTGAAAGAGCATGAAGATGCCAGATGACCCTGCTTTAAATGTTAGTCTCTTTTTAAAGTGTTAATTGTTGTCAGTTTTTAATATTTAATTCTACATTAAACAAGTTAACCTTTACTTTAACTATGGGTTTGGAGGGCTACAACTGGCATCAATGTCAACAGGAGTGGATCCTGGGCAGCCCATACATCTCACTACAAGTGCATCCTTTCTACTTGCCTTGCTGCCCTCTGCAGCCTTACTGTGCTGTCAGTGGAGCTGCACAGGAAGGAACTCATCAGGCAGCGACTGTGAAGAAGAACACAATTCATGTAAATAACCTCCTCATAACAATAGTACATAGGGAAGAAAATACAGGCTGCTTCCTGAACCAGTTAGCAAACAAATTCACATTCTATAGAAAGTGTCATTCCCAACTCAATGACCACATATTCAGGTTTTGGGAAGATGCTATATAGTTTTTCATATGAAAGTAAATTTGGATTTACATTCTGCTGCAAAACACAACTCACTCCTGACTTGGAGAAGGGGGCTGTCATTAGCACGGCCACTAGCAACCACAGGGTGCTCTAGAACACAACAACAATAAACCTCAGCATCATTTGAATGGAAAGAATGTTTCACACTTTTGTAACTCAAAATGACAAATTTCATGAGAAAAATGCGAACTGGGCAATCTATGGCAGAAAACCTGAGACCTCCATCACATCAATTCCTTCTGCAAGGCAGCTGAATGACTCTACAGCTTTAGGGTTTTGTGACTATTGCCTCTTAGCTGGCCATTGCTAGGTTTCAGGGAAAGAAAAAAGAAAGAAAAAACTTAAAGCAGTGTTTCTACAGAACTTCAGCAGTTAAAAAAAGTAACTTGTGCTTGCTTCACTCGACATCTGTCTCAAAAGTTACAGAAAAAATAGCCAACTGTACATCCTATCGGGCAGATTAATGATCCAAACAGAAACATAAATCACAGACTTGAAAAAAGACCTATTCTCATTCCTTTGAGTTGGATTCTTCCACTGTCACACTGATAAGAGTTGTTCTTCCTGGCTTTCATAAACAATAACAAAAAGGAAATCAGTTGTGAACATAACAGTTATACTTTCTGTACGACCTGAACTTGTCCTAATACTAAGCAGTTGCCAGGGAAGTATGCAGACTGTATTAAAGAACTCTGAAAAACACTGCAAGCCCCAGTTGTGCCTGTAACCAGAGAGGCCACACACCTCACCTCACCTCACCAGGAGATGGCTAACAAAGCCTCTAGCACTGCAGCACCTCCTGGGGCTCACTGGAGGACTAATAGGTAATGTGTTCAAAACACAATCAGCAAACCAACGGTGACCCTTGTGCACAATGCCTGCCTGAGGCAGAAGCACCAGGAGAGGTGAACTGACAGCAGCGACAGCAGATCAACGAAATGGCAGCAGAATCAGAGCCATAAATAGACCTTCAGGAAGCACGTGTTCCATTGGTTTCCTAAAGGATACTAGGTGTTCATTTAGAAGATTGTGTGATTTTTCCTCAAATGCCAAATGCTTTCCTAAATTTTTTAGAGGTTACTGAGAAACAGAGGGCCAAAGGAGTAAAAGGAGGAGGGAAATGTAAGCAAGCAGAGGGACAAAGTAAACAAGTTTCCCTGTAACTCATCGTGGACCACAGAGAACCTATAATGCTTCTTAACGGGGCTCTGCATTTTTCTTCAGCAGCACTGTTTAGGAACTTAGTGCAACAGTTTTAAAGTGGGCTGGTTTTAATAAAAGCAGTGCCATGGCAGGTGGCTTGAGCTTGTTTGTCACCTACTCTTGAGTGGCTTTACTGAATGTAGTGTTTTAAACATTAAGTTTGGGACACACAATTGCAATTTATGTCCTCATCAGGAATAAAATCAGACAACGGTATACAAAGGTATGTATCACATCTTAAGAAAACATATTTCCATTTCTTCATGAAGGAAAATAAATCCACCAAGCAGGTCACTTAAATTTTTAAACAAACAAGGCCCTCAATTTTTTCTCCTATTAAATGTAAACATTATTAATGGAATTAGATAAATAAATTGGTGTACCCAGAATCTGCATTTTGGTCACATGCCTAATTTATAAAATCTTTTACATCTTGAAAAAAAACATTAAACATGTAAAATGTGGCGTGCCAAACAAAAAATAAAGCTATGCCAAAGAAAGACTATATTTGCTGACCGTTTTCTTTGTATCCCATCCCTAGGATGACCTCTGGTGCTCTGTAGTAACGAGTCACTACATAAGGCGTCATCATAAAACTAGTTCCTGCAGTTCTGGCCAGTCCAAAGTCAAGAATCTTCAAAGTGCAGTCTGACTTTACTACTATATTACTGGGCTTTAAGTCCTTTAAAAAGAAACATCATATATGACCACTAAGACAAGCACAAAGTACTCGTTGGTTCACATTTTTAAAAGAGAATACTGCTAACATTCAACCCCACATTTATGACTAGGTCATTTCTATAACTGCAGTTTACTTTCCCCCTTGCATTAATTCATATGCATTCAGCAGACCATAGAATTAATTCCCTTCTTGTGCTCGTAGATTCATATAGCAATTAAAGAAGGAAAATACAACTAGTGTTACAAGATATTCTAGCAATGTGTGAAATAAATTGAGGTTAGTATGAAATGTTAGCTCTGAGAAAAGGACTAGAAACTGTCCACTGGAACACCAGTTATTACTACAACGCAGAACACAAATAATGTGACAATTGCAACAATCATTACAGTATAAAAATCAAAAATATAAAAATGATTAGAATCATTCATAAATGCAAAAAGCAAAAGATTTCTTTGCTGGTTGGGCCTGCATTACCTCTTTTGAACCAATGCAGATATTTCTCTGAACAGGAAGGAAATGCTCATGCTCACATAGGTCTGATTTCTCATTTAGGATTTGGTTTACATATACCAAGTTTGGTGACCAAACAAAAAAGGGCACCAGTGAAAAACTGCCAGATACTTAACTATTAAATTGGAGTGAAAAATTACATACTTTTAGAGGTTCTTAGTTGGAATCTTGGTTAACTTCACTCTCTTCAGTTCAACTTCAAAATTATATTAGCAACAGGGGCTTTGCAATGTCTACAGACATTCTCAGTCATTATCTCTGGATATCTTACACACATCTGAATGTCACAGAGCAATTATTAAGAGCAGAGTAGGTTCAGAATGACTTTGTCATGAGAAAATCATTCATAACACATAAACCATCCATACAAGGTCGGATCCTTTCTAGTTACCTCTACCAAGAATAATGAGACAAAACAATACGATGTGGCAGAGGACTCCAGTATTTTAGCTGTGAGCATTTGATAACCAGATCTTTCTTTCATTATTTCTTAAAGATGCAGAAGTGGTAGTCTGCAAGATTTTCATTTGTACTGGTATGTCTTTCAAGCCCCTCGGAGGGCTAAGCTGCACTAAAGACAGAGAGGAAGCCAAAAAAGAAAACACAGGTTTTGGAACAATAGAATTTTAATGGGTAATTAAATGTCTTGCATACTTACATATTCACACACTCTTCTAAATCACACACACAAAGACTGTGAAGACAACTTTGGCTTAAAAGATTCTCAAATGTAATGAATAAATCCAAGTATTATGAGGCATTTCAGCTATTCAGTGTGCATATTTCAGATTTTGCTAAAATCCTGTTATTATAAGCTTTATTTTTGTACAAATCTATTATCTGGAGGATGTTCACTGAAGAATCCCAGGTGCATGCTGCTAATATCAGCTGTATTTGTCCTCCCCAAAGCTACAGGATCAACACTGAAAACGTTGAATAAATTTTCCCCTGGCAAGAGTAAAAACACTGTGAAAACAAAAACTAAAATTTAAAGAGTACTGTCCATCTTAGATTTCTGAACACTGCGTGTTTCTCACGAAGCCTAGGAGCATGTTTTCATGCAGAATACAGAATTCCTGTTGTTCAAAATGATGGAGGTGTGTTGACTTATACTGGATTTCAAATCATGCAAGACCAATACCTCATGTTTTAAATAAATGAGGACTCAAAAGATCCTGTGAGAGCAAATAACTTTGCTAGGCTGTAGAAATACATCCAGAACCTATAGCAGAAGACATATCAAAATAACTCTTTCTTTTTTTTTTAAATCAGCTGTATTTTTGAAGAAGTTTCTTTCTCTTTCTAAAGAGATTTGTGTGAAGGGCTTCCATTAGTAGGCACCTTTGTTAAGCACTCAAAATTAGGCAGAATACAATGTTACAGAGCCTCCATGCAAGACTAATGAGATAGGTTGTGTCCTTCAGCAAGTTAGTGAGGCGCAACCCAGCAACTGATTATTCATCCTCCACAAATTGCAAAATATAAATGAATGTGTACTTGTAGACTTGCTGGAGACTCCATCTCTGCAAAATGTTTTGAACACCACAGTGCTCATCTGACAACATTTATTAAAGTCAGCACAAAGACACGGTCAAGTCTTTATCAACCTATATCTTTACCCAATGCCACGAGAGCTAAATATATCTTCTGCAACTTACAGGTGAAACATTCCAAAATTCTGTGTGTGTAACGCCTGCCTCTATTCTGCTATAAGGAAACACCACACTTATTTGCATGGCAGAGAGCATCCAATGCTACAGGCACACATGGAAAATATTTTAGTTTCAGTCATTTGTCAAGTTTTGAGAAAGTAGCTGAGATGGTATGATCAACTCAGCTATGTTAGGCATTGAATAACAAAGTTAAAAAACATATGAAACGATCAATAGCAAAAATTGCTTAAAACTTTTAAGGACATTAAATAAGTGCACTGAATTACTACTCAGAATGTTTCAAGGGCAGCCACAGTAGTGCAGACTATGTTTAAGAAACAAGTTTCAAGAAAGTCACTAGATCTAGATTCTTGGGATAGTGCTGCTGAAAGATCAGAAGACAGGCATAAGGAGTTATTACTGAAGCCACACGTTCCATATGCCCTCTTTGCCTTCCGAGATCTTGTTCAACAGAAAGAATTTTGACACCTCACACTTTAAAATTTAAAGAAGCAACACAAAAAGCAAGCAAGCAATGCAAAGATTTTGCTTGCACACACTGAAGCTTCAAGCAGTCAGAGAGCAAGTTGCAAAATGAAAGTCCACCAAGAAGGCATGCAAGTGAAACGTCCTTCAAAATAATTCAAGCACACTATTTGCACAGCAATTGTATCTATAGACAATCTCATTGGATTGGGCTATCTCTAAACTCTGTACCACTGCACAACATGAAGCACTTCAGAACTCCACCCATATTTACAGAGGCAGAAAATGTATCGGTAAAGCTGTCCTTACTCCTATCCAACAGCCCACTTTAGTAGCAGAAACGAAGCAATGACGGTATAGATGTTTCCATTTATTACTGATTTCTACAGGCTCAGTTATTCAGTGCCTACTTTACAGTAGCACAAACTGTCCTTGAAGCAATGTCTGCACAAGCACTTAGCATTTGCCTGCACTGACCCACAGAAGGAGACTCATTGTCTATTCTAGAACATCTATAAGCACATGCAGAGTAGGAAGGGCAGGGTGCAACAGCTGGGTGGTGCTTCTGCCTATTCTTTCCCCAGCTCTTTCAAATATAGTCGTACTAGGGCAAACTGTGCGAAGAAAGCCTTCACCTTCCCTCCCTGAGCTCTTAACTAGAGTGAGACAGCAGATGTGTACTGGAACCAGGTGAGCAAAAGTGTTCTGCCATTTACATTTTATTTGCTCTTTATACAATGCCCTGGTTCTCTTGAATGAGAAACAGCAGACTGAAAGGGAGTGTCATACTGCCAGTTCTAGCTTGCAGGCCACTCCACAATGAGCTGGGCTACTGAACTGGCAAGCACCGCAGCATAGTAACGAGGTTGTAGAATTCAGAACTGCTGTTCATGATTTTGCTGTACATCATCCTTGAGGGATACTACACAGTACTGACTGAAAGTACTGTGCATACATAAATTAAATTAATTTTTTCCTGCATAATTTCTCTCTACGAAAAAAGATTACAGTGAAGAACATAACACTGTAAAAATACAAGTTTAGAGTTTCCCAAAATAATAGAAAGCATATTGGAAAATTTATAACTAGGCAACCTCAAGTAATCATCACACTACACATAAATACATATGTAAGATGTTCAACTTGAATAGGTGATCTTAAATTTAAAATATCCTAACTGGATTTCACATACAAGCCACTAGAAAAGTAATTGTCATTTTTGCCTGCAGGCAACCTGAAGGAATGCTTTGTGACACACAGGTGTATGAAAGCTCCACTCACAGGTCTTTATCACGATCTGTTTGTCTGGAAACTTCAAATACTTATTTTCTACACTGTTAGTAAAGGAGCTGAAATAAATTGGGCAGTTCTTTCAAAAGATGGAATTTCAGGTTTGGTTACCAAAACAACAAAGGCAGAGGTGATTTCAGATATTCTTTCCTGCCATGACTGCTAAAATTGAACACGATACAGAATTACAGAAAGTAATGCAACTCACTGCCATAATTATTTTTTTTTGTCCTATGCAGATTATTTTCAAACCTAGGAAAAACATCCAAGAGGTCCATTCCAGAATTACAGAGCAACAAAGGAAGCTTGATTTCCTTTCAGCTTTCTCTCCCTGTCCATGGTATAGGCTACAGAACACTATTTGTACACACATTTCTGATTTTTTTCCTGACTCATTTATATAGAATCATAAAATCATTTAGGTTGGAGAAGGACTCTAAGGCAAAACTTGATGCAATAAAAAGTAACATGGAAATTCACTTACCCTATGTATAATTCCAGCTGAGTGAAGATGTTTAATACCACACAGCATCTGATAAAGCAGATAGGACATTCGTTCATGGTCTAGCTCCATCTGAATTACTTGGCAGAGATTTGCATCCATGAGCTCCATTACTATGTAGCTTATAAAGAGAAAAAAAAAACCAATCTGATAATGCTACCAATTTACTGTATTCTTTACCTTGTTCATCTTTCAATGTTAATATTTTTGAAGTTAATTCACAGCTTTAGTTTATGTCAAACTTACACATCTTGAAATTCTTCTAGGGATTTCTGTGGTGTGAACACATTCAGTAAGCCGATTATCTGTAGGAAAAAAAGAGAGGAAGTATAATCGCATCACAGCAATAGCAAAGTTGAAAATCAACATTTCAAAACAGACATCCAGCATCCTGATACAATCTTCCTGGTATCCACTGAAGCACCAGATGCTCAGAGTGTCAACCACGCCTAACATGCTGTAACAGATGCTAATGATTTTGTGAGAAGTATTTATCCTCCAAAAGTCATACAATCTAAAAACATTTTGTGTGGATTAAAAGGTTAAAACCTGAAGAAATTAGTCAGTCTTTCCTTGCTCCCTACTTTAAATATAAAAAAAAAACAACATTAAGATTCTTATTATGTATGATGAAAAATTAAATGAAAAAGTGACAAGAAAAACTACCAAAGAGATATCACTTTGCCATAGACAGAGGCGAAGCAAGAAATTGTTTCAAAGTCAAAACCAGCAATTTTATAGTATTTTCCAGTTGCTAAGAATGGAGGGTATGTGCAGCAACAGGTCAAGATATTACTCATCAAGAGTCAAGCAGGGTTGCAATAGTTAATAATCACATAAATTATGCTACTAGGTAAATTTTCCAGAGAATCCACATATAAACCACTTATTTCTCAGAAGTAAGGTTTCAATGATTCTTCCTTGCCTAAAAGCCAGGGAGAATTTTCTCTTGCTGAAGAAAGATCAAGTGAGAAGGTGAGGAAGATGGCATACAGCTGTCATTTAAGGCAGAAAATGGCCAATACCAGACTTCCGTAATCTAAATCCAATACATTTATCACTTTTTCTCTCCCAATGTCTCTAATCAGCTCTGCTCCACAGCTTCTCAAGCATCATACAGTTCCTGCTGTCACAGCATGACTCCTAACTCATTCATGCATTACGAAATAAAGATATAAATAAAAACTATTGCAAGCTTTTTCGTCCTACTTGTTTAGCACCAGGAACAGAAAGAAGAATGCAATTACCATTCAGAGTATTCTCATTTGCCAGCTGTCTGTAAAATGTAGCAATGTAACACCATCTCCCTTCCTGAGTGTGAAGGAGGAGTTTGAAGACTGGACAGGTATTAACACTAGCCTGCAACTGCTCGTCTCAGGCCCTTTTGTACTTATCACAAACATACAGCCAGGTTCTGAAAACCACTACAATCTATAAATGATGTCATCTCTGAAATAGTCTTTAAAATGTTTACAAAGAACAACTACCTGGTCGATCCTTTAATATTTAAAGCAGAACAGCCCACTTACATTTTTGTGATTAACACACTTCATAAGAACAAGCTCCCTGTAAGCTCTTTTAGCATGGGTTTGATTCTGAAATGGTCGGCTTAGTTTCTTGATTGCAACGTTTCGCTCAAGGATGGCATCATAGGCTGCACTGTAAATAAAAATAACATGATTTCATATCAGTGTTACAATCAATTAAGCTCAGGCAGTTTATACTTTTCCAAATATCACGTATTAAGCCTGCGTGTAAACAAAGCTTCTGGCATTAATCAGCTTCAGGGAGATTAATAGCAAGGTGCTCATGTATGCTTTGCAATACAAAAATTTTAAAGATTTTCCCAGATTTGTAGCCCTAACACACAACAATCACCAATAAAAACTGCATGACCTCTGTTTCCTAGAATATCTGCCTAAAGGTACTGATGCCTTGCCACTCGCACTGAAGAACAGACTGCCTAAAAAGATCCAAAGTGCTTTAAACATAAAATCCACATCAATTTTACATATAATCTTCTCACTGAAACGTAGGGATAAGAAGAGAGGAAAAGTAGGTTATACATAGGTCCCACGCTCTCATTCATGATGCAGCATGCAGCTGTTTAATATCCTCATGACAATATCCGCATCGACATCAAGATAAAACAAAAAAAACCAAAATGCTAGGAAAGCCCTAACATCTTGATGTCTTCAAGGAAGAATAAAATTCTACTTGCAGATAGATGCCAAGATTGCTAAAAATTCAGTAATACAAGCTGTTGAAAAGATGAGGATTATTAGTGGGGACAAGTCCTGTACATATTGCCATGACAGGAAGGCAAGGATTTTGTTTTCTGCAAGAAGTAATACAGCAGCTGACTACTGTGCAGACTCAGGAAATATTTGTCAGCTAGTAAAAAAGCCTCAGCAGGGAAAAATACCATTTTATTGTCTCTTACTGAGAATGGTACACAAAACTAATCGAGAACATCTGCCAGTAAATGGTCAGCATTTACCAAATACAATTGGAAATATGTTGTCTATACAGTACTTAGGCCTGAATGATTTCTTTTTTTTAGCATCATAAAACTGTATAGTTACAAGGGAAGAAGAAAGAAAAAAATTAGATGAACATATACTGGTAAGTTTTTTGTTTGTTTGTTTATATTTCCTTCATCTACCCATAAGACAGTCCATATCTTGCAAGAGAGAAGCAAAGAGGAGATCAGGAAAAAATGACAAATTTCTAAATCTGCAGTACATAAACATAGCCTTAGAGTCTGTTTCAAAGCTGAGCCTTTAGATCATCTACTTCAAAACTACTTCAGCAGCAGGACTAGTGGAAATGGCCTCAAATTGCACCAAGGGAGATTCAGGTTGGATGTTAGGAGAAACTGTGTTTAGGAACTGGAATGGGCTGCCCAAGGAGGTGGTGGAGTCACCATCCCTGGAGGTGTTCAAGGAATGTTTAGGTGTTGTACTGAGGGACACGGTTTAGTGAGAAATGTTGGTGATAGGTAGATGGCTTGATTGGATGTTCTTAGAGGCCTTTTTGAGCCTTAGTGATTCCACGATTCTGTATTCTTCCAAATTAAGCTGGATTAGTGGAAAAGAAAAAACAAAGAAACAAAAACACAACTCAACCCAAATCACAAGAATTACACACTATCTCCTTCACAAATGGGCAAAATTCAGCCATATGAGTGCTCCAGTTCATTTCAGGGCAATCAGAGTGGCTTAACTGAAACAGCTTCATTTATCATAAGCATAATTTGCACATTATACTGATAGTCTGCATCGCAAGTGCTCACTAGCTGGTGTAAGACACTACTATGGAACTAAGTGAAATAGGTCTCTAGCAAACTATTTTAAGAAAAAAAAGCATGTAGAAGCATCAAATATTACATAGAGGTTTTTTTTGGCTTTTGTTTCACTTTAAGCAGTGTGGCTTAGGATCAGGATTAGTTCCTTTATCCTTTTAATTTATGGGACTCAGGACACCTAAATGAATTTACACAGAAGGGCACCAGTTCTGATGCAGGAAGGGATGCATGTCAAAATAAACAACAAAACCCACTGTTGACAACTAATGATCATAAACACTATTTTTCACATAACGTATAACTGTAAAGGCACTCCAAAAATTCTATTAACAGAACCTAGAAGTGTGTTTACACTTTGAAGAAACCTTACCATACTATTCCTTGTGCTCCTGATCCTATCGGTTTTAAGTTTTGATACCGTTTCAATACAGTGAATGTAGAATCTCCAATTTCAACACTGTAGAAATTGTTGTCACGCTTGCTTCTGCTCATGACGGCAACTTAGGCAGATCGCTTCATCCAAATTCTGCTCCTGGCTGTAAAGAATTAAAGAAAATTAAGATTTTACTGTATTTAATATAAAAAAAAGGAAAAATTCCCCATAACATCTGGAAGACACTTCTCGCAGAAGGCCCATATGCAAACATATGCTGCTTTTCACATCTGCAGCAATAAGATGACGTTTTGTTTTTAGGAATGTCCCTCAGACAGGAGTCTAGAACAGAAAAAGAATAATAAAAAACAAGAATTGAATGATTAGCAGCAAAAATCTTACATAGCAGTGAACAGAAAGTCAAAAGGTTGGTTATGTCATCCACAGAGCACAGAGCGTTGCTGAGCCTTTTCACGCATCTGCAGCAAATTAAGCAAGGTCTGGACCAGATGCCCTCCAGAAGTCTCTTACAACCTAAATTGTTGTATGACTCATTCAACAAGATACAGGAGTGACAAACCATCAATACATTTTCCAGACATTGAAATAATGAAAATGTTCTTGGCTGCAACTGCCAGGAATGCCCATCACTGACATGGAAACACACAGAGTTAATCAAGGACAGAAAAGGAAAACTGGCCTTGTCAGAGACCTCTCATCATAGCTCCCAGGAAACAAAATAAAAAGCAGGACAAGGAAAACCAAGTATAAGATGAAATGGACTTCTATTCCACAAAAACAAACAAACAAACAAAACACCATTCTGGTGTTAATAAAGGAAAATCAGTATCCTAAGGTACACATTCATAGGAGAAAAAAGTAAAATGCACAGTGGCTTTTATTGTACTGTACACTGTTTCTTCCTTGTCAGTTGTACTCTTCTAATTTTTTCTTTACATGGGGGTTGGGTGGAGTTGTAACACATGTCTAGCAGTGTAAATTCTTGTTTGACTATCAGAAATATCTTTATTTCTTCAAGAGTAATAGCATGGTATCTTCCTTTGTTACTAACGTATGCAACACTTACCCATATTGTCATTCATCATTCCCAAACCATTTATAACTAATAGTAGCATTTCAGCATGTAGCAGCATATTGAAGTTCTAGAAAAGCACCATCAGTTTAGGATTTAATAGCTTTAATAGATTCAATAGATTTCCCTGCTAACTGGATTCTTTGTTTTTAAATAAAGTGCCATACACTGTATCTGAAGAATATGAATGATTTAAAATGTACCTCAACTTTCTACTACTATCTGAAAAACTCAGAATACCTCAGAATATTGTACCTCAACATATGTCTGCATACAGAAACTCTGAGTCACATTTTTAATTTAGTGCTCTACCTTTCAAATTCCAATACATGAACTGTTTTGTATCTTAAAGTGCAGCAAAGGAAAAAAAGAAGTCTACTTAGGCTTAAGATATTCCTGTTTATACCATAAATGATTACTTGATGGACAGTCAGTACAGTTCAAAACACGAGAAAGATGAAGATACCAAACATTTTATCTGAACAGTCTGTAGCCAATTAATGTAGCAACAAGCCTGAATAATTATTAAGGTAGCAAAACATGCTTGGGCACTTGCAACCACAATGATAGGAGCTGGCATCCCTTCCCACTATGCATGAAGTCTGCTCCCATAAACTTCACATGATGTTACAGTGTACTCTTACATTGGCTGAAGCAGAAAGACTCGTATCACCCCAGATCATTAGATAGGACAGTAAAATGCTATCAATGGAATAATGACAGCAATACAGAAGAGAGATTAAATGAGGAAGGAAGAAGAGGTACCCTGAAGTGGAGAAGCAGAAGCATCCCCACTTGCATCTGAATTATCATTCCTTCTTTTGCAACTCCTTGTGCCGTAGTTAAAAAAACATCAGTCTCTGCTGCTTCAGCATGGGGTATAGTTTATCACTTCAGCTAAAATTCACGCTCTTCTAGCATAAAACTGATTTAAGAAGAGTCAGCTCTCAGAAAAGCCATTTCTTGCAAATTTTTATGGCAAACTAAGGTGAGATGCAAGTCAGTCACTGGGAGGCACTGAGGAAGCACTCAGGTCAGCAATGAGAAGTCTCAGAACATAAGTAATGCTTCTCTTTGCCTCCTTTTCACCTGGCCATTACAGCTTCCTTAGCCTGAATCAAATGGCATCCACTCTGTCTGTGTTCCAGCCTCCAAGTTTCATCATTTCTACACCACCGAGAATTTAAGCCTCTCAACTTTCTAAGCAAACTTACTTCTACTCAGTGCTTTGCTTCCACTCAGGCCAGCCTCCCTTGTGCCCACCACTCACAGAAAGTATCCTCAGAAAGCGCCTGGTAGTGTCCAGCTCTACAAATACAGCCCCTAGAACAAACTCTAAAGGTTTTACTTCTTCCCATCTGCTAATTGACTTGTGCCTAATCTTACAGAGTCTCGCTTCAAAGATGTACAACACCAAAAGTTTTAGTCTTTAAATATTAAAGTAGTTATAAATGCAGAAACTGGCAGACTTTCAAGATTCTTACACAAAGTATCCCTACACTATCTTTCATTAAAACACAATTAAGCTATATCAGATAATCGTGCCTGCCTGAAATTTGACATTTTGCTCCACTTTCTAGCAATTCTGAAGAATTACGTACATGAAGAAAGGCAGGATGCAGATTCCAGATTTCTACTATTAATGAGGAAAGTGATGATGCACTTGTCCCATTAACTGTGAACTTGCCAGAACACAATTGCTGTCAGTGGGGAAAGAAGTCTGCCAACCACTACAGTTTCCCCTCGCACATCAACTAACTGTGCACTGCCTTGGAAGTATCTCGCCTAAACAAAGGTCAGTATGTGCCAGCCTTTTGGTGGCAGCCCTCAATTACTCAAGGTAAGGATATTCCAAAATGAGACCTTACGACATTGCAGTGTATTTTGGTACATTCATTTCCTAATTCTTCACATTGCCATAGGTAGTATTTACACAAGAAAGCACAACAAAAATGCTGGAAATAGAAATAACATTATGACCATACAAGGGAAGTCCTTGTGCGTAATTGTTTTGAGTCCACTAATAGGGACTAGAATTAATTGGTTTTGCATGAGACTGATGATGGTCAAGAATTTCTGCTCATCGCTTCTTTTACAGTCTGATAAAGACGTAAAAACATGACAGTGTGAAAATACTTGGACCCACTGTACTTGTAAATGTCTTTCAAGACAAGAAGCAACTTAAAAAAAATGAATAATACTTACAATCACAATCAAATTTCTTCACCCAGCTTTAATTTAAACATATTTATAACGGCAGTAAGATGTTAGAATAAAAGAAACCATGGATAGTAATGTTTATGTATAAATACACATACCTTCTGTCACTGACTTCTGTTTAAGCACAGATCACATACCCTGGTGTTTCTCAACAACACTGTTCTACATACACTTGTTGAATTCAAAATATCTGTAAGATAATGCACTAATTTTAATCTTTGTGTATAAGACATAAAGCATCCAGTTTATTATTCAAGACACCAGACAACATATGGATAGTGTATGCTAAAATATTTTTCCAGTAAGCCTAAATACTTCGGATTTGGGGGTGGAAGGGCAGGAGGGAGAGGTAATCCCACGTTCTCACAGCTTTTCCTTAAAATCTCAGTGCAGGTGCACTAAAAACCTTAGTAATGGCCAGAGACTTCAATAAAAAACATGAACAATACAGACAGATTCAATAGACCTGCCTATGAAGAATGCATAGACTGACTATTTTAGAAGAATGAGGGAGGTGATGTTCATGCCAGACCCCGCTTTCTTGGACACTTTATAAAACTATGATCTATACCTGACAGTGCTATAAAGGGGTCAGCAATGCAGCAGAGCATCAGCTCTGCTCAGCACACCTCCATGTGCAATGTAAGTTAATGTGTTCAAACCAGAGCTGGCTGAGCTGTGGTTTATGGCTTTGTAAAGCTGATGGTACAGCAAAGGGTATCAGGTCTGTGCCATTAGGTCACTAAGGCTGGATTTGGGCAACCTGACTTTTTGCTTATAGGAAACCCTCAGAAGTTAAGATGAAACAGCAGACAACAAAGAGACCTCTTCCAACTCAAGGAGACTGTAAGAGTTGTATCCCTGAGTTAACTGCAGAAACTTCATGTATCTGCAATTAGAATTTAATAGGAAATCTGCGTTTTCAACTAGACATCTGAGTGTTTCACCTCAGTGCAGTGCTATCATCAAATAATGTTTTCTCGGCTATCACACCTGCGAGCCTGCACGTCAATGAGATGCCAACTCTGTGCTTCTTCAATCAGAAATCACTTTAAAAATAACACATGTATAATAGACTTCCATGACGCAGTGACCTGAATGCACGCACTCCAGGCACACAGAGGGAAAGAAATGGAACAGGCTTTATGAAAGAAAGAATCTCTCAGTTTATGTAAGAGCATGAAATATTTTATGACCTCTTCTGCGCTCTTCTCTCAGAAAAGACAGTAACAGCTAACAGGAAAGCTTCAAAGATTGCCTTGTAAACTGATAAAAAGCATACATTTCAGACATCTCTCTCCCTTTGAGACAGAGAAGTGGAACCCAAGAGATAATTTTCCCACAAGGGACATGTATATAGAATGCATACTGCCAACTTAAAGGGTGGAGAAACATATGCTCTGTAAAGCTAACTCTCTAAGACTGCTTGTTAATTGCTGTTTTATACCTTTGCTAGGCAACAAGAAATGAAAATCAAGGATTCATACCATGCTGCATTTGGCCGCATAGGCTATAGAGCACAATGCCTTATTCTCCGTATCCATTTACACAACAAATTGTTTGTACTCAGTTGGATCCGACTGTGGTTAAGGACTACAGCCGAGAAGACATTTTCATACCCTAATGCTTTGAAATGAAATCAAATACGCAAAATGAGAAAAATCATTGGAAGGAACAGCCACCATTTGTTACAAGTTTTCTACAGCAATCTTCTGTTATGAGCAAGCATAAATGAACTTAAAAGAAGAAAATTAGGACACTAAACCAGCAAACAGTCTGTGGGACAAGATATGACTTAAGTGCAACACAAGTACCAATGAAGATAGCAATCTTCACTGAAAATCAGAGGG